TCGCTCCCTTGCAGACGGGGCTCGCGTGAGACACTCTGAATGCCGAAATCCTCTGAGCAGCGCGGCGCAAAAATACAACAGAAAATAAAACGAATGGCCACTCCGCCACCGTCACCGCCGCCACCGCCGCCCGCGAATCTGCAGGCGATAGGCACTGGATTCAGGGCGACGAACTTCCTGCGTAAGAGAGTATCTGTCTCAACGTCATCGTCGTTGTCTTGGCGGCCGTTTAACTTGACCGACCGGAAGACTGAGCAATCGCGTCCCCACAGAATTAAGTTCTATATCAAGAGGATTCAGAAGGCGACAACGACTAACTTCTACGTATAGAAAAATGTTGAAACGAGACCGTGTATTTATCGCTATCGCCTCGTCGTTTTCCCCGCGAGCCCAGAAGTGGAATCCCTGGAGTCTCGTCGATTCCTTAAGAAAAGCGCTCATGTTGTTTGTAGGTTTTTATAGGAGAGTTTTTTTTCCGATGTTCCGAATGCTTTCTTTCGTTGATGAGTGGACGAGAGAAAATAATATCGAGGTGCGATGACCGTGACTGACGCCGGTAGTCGTCTGTTGTCGAGCGAATCTCCCTAGAGCGCGACATCTTACGGTCCGATTCTTAATTGGCCGAAAACGAATCTCGCTGCTCAGACCTTCAAGCGTTCCTCCGTCGGATGTCTGCCGAGCCAGAAGGAATTTTACGAGACAATTACTCCCACAACCTGGACAGTCCGAGTGGTCAGGGAACACTGGGCACCTCAGCTCTCGGATCGAGTGAACATCCCTTGCGAGCCTACCGCTACATCTCCAGCGAAATTACGGGGTATGATATTTTTCCGTCGATGCCGAGATAGCCGCGTGTCGATACCCGCGAGTCTCCAAGGAGGCACAACGTCGCGCATAGCGTGCGATGTGATCCATTTTTCTCTGATTTGGCATTCAGACGCAATCGTCCACTGTGACGTTGGTCGGGTGCGAATGTCGACTCGAGCTGTTGTCGACGACGACGGCGGCGGCATTATTCCGAGAGACTCCGCTTCTGAAGAGCATCCTGCACAGCTTTCCGAACAGAGATGTTCACTCAGTCAGTTAGCGTCGTCGGTCGGTCGGACGGACGCAGAGCAGAATACCACCGTCGCGTCGTCATCGTCGCATGCGCTGCTATCACATCTTGTCGAATCTAGTCTCACTCAGAATTTTCCATAGCTCACTTGTTTCTTTCATCCACTCACGGGGGACGATTGCGACGTCGTCGTCGTTCAAGACGTCGTCATCTATGACCAGGCTGGTCACGAAGAATGGTCTTGGCTCGCTGACTCGCAGGAATCATCGACGACCGACGCTGGGGTTCACATGGAGAAAGAGATTCTTGGCTGACGTGAAGAGATCTGCTCGAGTTCTCGGCGCTTTTCCTAACCGCCCCCCTGCTGCCCACGAAGGGTCTTCGAAATGTCGCTCCGGATTCCGGAAGCATCTGACCGTGGTTCCAGAGGAGCCACCTTTACAATGGCCCCGCTCCAAGTGACCTATACGAGCGAAGCGTCTGAAAATCTAACAATTTGAGCGATTGCGAAGCGTGAAATTAGCGAAATTTCTGAGCCATCAAATCGGCTCACAGTAGCGAGCGTCGGCGGTTCTAGAGCGGCGTCAAACGCGCAAGCTTCATTTAACACTTGAAGTTCTTCGTTTCTTTCCTCTCCTTCTGATCTGGATCGTCTTCGCTCTACTCAGATAATAGTTGCAATCGTCTCCGCCCGTAGCTACTTTCCCCCAGGTTCACACTCCGTCTTTTCCCGTTACCCACTTCTTGGCAGCCGACCCAACAAAAAAGCACTAGTGGTCGCGGTAGTGTGTTTCGGGGCTGTTTCAGCGACGACCGGTCAGCACTGGTCATCTATGAAGTGTGGAATTATACAATTTTCTCGTCGATTTGGCACGACCGGTGAGCGCACTCGAGCTGCCATCGTTCGAGAGTATTTCGAAGCAGAGTGCGATTCTCGGCTCTGTGCTTTTCGAAAGATTTCTCCAAGTGTCATCGTGATCAATGATGTCCAAACCCCGACCTTCATATTATTATCATCGGTCTAATCGTCGAGGGTGTGGTCCGCGCTCTCTGAGCGGACTCTGAAGTTAACTGATACTTATAAGAGGAAGTGAGTTCGTTCTCGTGTCCATCTTCTCACGATTCGGAAACGTCCATCGTTGTCTTGCGAGGGTTCTCGAGCTTTGAGGCTGCGTCAGTGATCGACACGAATGGTTATTGCCGGGACATCGAGCCCGACAGAATCATCGAGTCCGAAACTATTTTTTGATTTCGAATCTGATGCTCCCTAAAAAGGGGAGGAACGCGCATCGTCCGCTAATTTCGGCGGGAATTGCAATGAGCAGATGCTGATGATCTTCGTTATGGGAAGCAGCGAAGTGTGCGGCTTCGACTGATATAGTAGTAGGAATCGTTCGGTTCAACACCGTGGCCAGAGGAACGCGGCTCCTTTGCGTGATGGAACCGCTTGTTATTAATCCGATGAGGAACGAATAATATTTACATACACTGCAGCGGCGCGCTTGGCGAAGCGATTCCACTTGTTTGGTTTTTTGGATCGGGCGCAGACTCGGATACTGTCCAGCGCTTCCTGACGACGAGAATCCGAATCCGAACCTCACGCGGAATCTGTTATGGAATCAATCCAAAATAGGTATATCCCGGGTGTTTTGAGCTCGGGCTCGTTCCGCTGCCCAATGGAGAACCGCCGATGACTGGGAACTTCTTGAAATATTTCGAGAAATTTTCACCGCCTGCCCCTTGCTCGACGGAGTTGGGCCGGTACGTCGCCGGGACGGTGAATAAGTTGAAACGGTCATCATGCATGAACCTATCATAGCTGCATCGTTGTTGTAAGCCGTATCTTGCACGTCCCTGTACATATATTGTGAGCAGCTGTCGTCGCGAAATCCGTGCGTCGACAAATTGACATCGCGAACTGGAAATTTGTCGGATCCCCGCTGTGCAATGTCAGTCGGTCCCTCTGTCAGTCTTCAATGTTTCAGTGTGTCTAACGAGAGCCGGCGCAAGGAGTGGGCTGGCAAGATACGCGTTGTATCTGTCTGTCTGTATGTCAGTCAGTCGGATGATGGCTTTCCTCAAGTCCAGTGGCCATTGCTGCCTGCAGTCTGGTTCGCTTCGGGTCATGATTTATTGTGACGCTGGAGCAAGCAAAAAAGCAGGCTTATCGACTCCTATCGATACATAACAAACATGTCTTTTCCTCGACGGCAGCAGCAGAGGTAGTCTTAGCGGCAGGAGCAACTTCGACCCGAGGACATTTGTAACCTCGTCAGGGATCTTGACACACCGACCGAGTGGCTGCTGACAGTTATACAAACAAGCGTCGATTCCTTGTGTGCAAAGCGAGCCGGATTTATGGCTGAGGATGAACAGAAAGCATGTGTCGGTCGCAATGTGATGATCGATTGGGATTGATTCCGATCCCTCGGATGATCATGACAAGCCCATAGGAATTTCGAGATAAACTCCTGCTGCAAAGATCCGGCGGAGCCTCTCTTGCGATTCAAAATCCTCGTCACGGAGCTACGCTCGACGACACGCGCCGCTCTGCTCGCGTAGGTCCGGACGAGGTTCACCGTGTGCGAACCAATTGTGGGAGCGGCAATCAAGTCATAATTTGTTAGATCAGCTTATTATTATCGATTATTATTGTCGGTGTCAACTGAGACGTCCGCCCGAGGGAGTGCGTACGACGAGGGCACAGAACTAAACGATGTGATACTCCGTCAAAGCGCACATCGGAGCCCGGCTTTTCCAGCTGGTCGTGGCGTTGATTTAGTACATCCCATTTGTGAACGCAGGGATAGGACCCAAACCGGAGTTGCTGCCGATCTAACCATCCAGCGAGCGAGGGAGCCTGGCGGCGAGCCGGGACCGCTGCTCGGATATGGCGCACTGTAAGGATCCGTGGGAAGGGATAGGGGTAGGTGCATAGCCGTTATAGCCCTCGTAGGCATCGGCGTCGCTCGTACGACGGCCACGGGATAAGTTGGGGTAAAGTTTGTTAGAGATTGTTATGATCGGCGAGGATGAGCCGAGAGGAAGATCCACTGGGGCTTCGACCCCGGCGCGAGCTTCTCGCTCCATGGACGCCACGATCGGCGGCCCCCGCACGGAGTAACTTGGGATCGTTGTTCACTCACTCGCTCACTCACTCACTGCTCCTCAGTCGATGCAGCTAGTCGCCCAGGAGCAGCAGGAGCATGGGAAGAGAACGAAGAGAATTATATTGCCGCCGATGCATCATAAACTCAGCATAATAGCATCTAAAAAGTTCACATTTGACCGATAGCTGCTGCTATGGATGCTCTTGCTACCACGGTGGCCTTTCAATAGCGCTATCCTCCGCTAGGATAAATAGATAAGAACGAGAGAGCGAGAGGAGCAACATCACAGGCGACCCACCGAGTTTCGCCCGATCGGGACATGCTCCGGAACTTCATTTTGCCCTCACTCGTCCATCGGTCTTCGGGTCCTCGTTGGCCACTCTCGAATATCGCGGGCGATGTTGCTCGGGCCGCGAGGATTCCGTCACTGCTCCGCTTCCCTATTCCTCTCTGCGTCAAATGGCCGCTCGGATGCGGAGACGGGGGATGGATAACGGAATGAATCGGTCGGTCAAATCTGAAGATTGAGATGTATCGTACCCCATTTTCTCAGCGCTGGAATGCTTCGTTCTCCCGAATATCGAAACCACATATGGGTGATATCCCTTGGAACGCCGGGGTTTCCGATCCAGCCTCCCGTCGCGGGTCAGTTTCATCGATAACTTCACACCCCGGAATCGGGAATGAAGGAAACGAAATTCTCTCTTATCATGGTTTTCGGACGATTTTAATTTTGGTTTCTGATCTTGATTTCCTCTCACAGCCAGGAGTCTCCCACGGCGAGTGGATTTTCAGCCGAGTCATTCAATTGCGAGCGGATTCACAGCGAATCCCTAGTGTTCATCGCCGGTCGTGGCATCGTACAAGTATTGGAAGTAATCGTGTTGCCCTTCGGTTATCGGGAACGATACGATTCCGCATCCCCTGGACGGATGGTGTTTCGGATGGTGTTTTTTCACAAAGTCGGTCATACTCTTGAGAGACTTAGTTGGAGATTTAACCAACATCATCACCTGAATGAATGTTGCGAGAGGTCTCATGCCATGCGGTCGATTCGAAATCTTCTCCCGAGGAATATGGTGATCAGGTTCTCCTCGGGAGCGAACTTAGAGAGCGGCGCGCAGAGGCGTAGCCGAGGGAAGTGGAACCCACCGTGGAATTCTTCTCGACCTTTCCATTCCATCGATAAACTGATTGCACTTTGGGGAAGATATGAACGCAAGCGGCCACGCGTTGTTCGACCATCGAACTTGGAACGGAGGTGAGAATTGAAGAGAGTAGCGAATACGTGAGATTCTTCTCTACGACGATAATGAGTGCAGAGCATGGACTCACGTGGCAAGCTCTTCCGCATCCTGTTCACTCGACACCGTGACGTAAGACAACGCGAAGTCGCCTGCGAATGAGGTCAGCTCGCGAAATCCCGTGATCATGCCGCCGCTTCCAATATCGATCACTTCGACGGCCTTGAAGGACAGATACATTCACGTGAGGCTTGAGCTCTCCGGAGAAGTTCCGGTCGCTTAAGATACTGAGGTGGGCTCCCCTGCGAAAATCTACGTTCCGTGCCGGCATTGATTAACCGAAAGCAAATAACGCCTGAACGCGGCTTCAAGGGAATCCTGTGCAATGACTCGCAAGAAAGCCGGGTGACCCCCAGAAAATTCTCAGACTGACTGACTCACAAAATCCATCTTGTTGCCGATTTTTTTCGGCAAACACGGGATCTTCATCGGAGGCACTTGTCCTTGGATTTCAGGCTCTATTTCTCTCTTGGCAGAAGCGATAGACTCGGCAGCCTTCCGAGGGAACGAGAAACGGGACCCCAGTTTGGCGATCAAACTCCAGAAATCAGCGAAAGCAAGCGGCGGCGCGTCACCAGCTGGACGATGAGAGTGGACGAAAACGATGTTTCTTGCTGATTTTGTCGTCTCTTAAAATAAATCTGCCGCTCAATTCAAATGCGCTTCGGCCGGACTTGGCGATGATCAACGGGTTCTGCGCGACTCGTTCCAGAAGATGGGATACGGTCGACGCCAACGGAGAATACTGAAGCTCTACTGCTGCTTTGAGTCGAGGAGGGATTCGCTCACGGAGGTTGACTCGGAAACCGAGAGCGACAATGCGATCGTCCTCAATAATTAGACCGAGCTCCTCTCTGTCAAGTTGGAGAACGTCACAAGAGCGAACGCCGCGCGAGAACCGATCAGACAGGCATCCGGCCATTCCGAGCGAACTTCCCATCGCGCGTCGGTCACGTTCAGCATATTCTCTATCGCAAGCAGCAGACGCTTTAGGAATCGTGCGTGCTACGCTGCGTGGCTAACCACTTCGCATACGTATTCGTCTATCGCAGGCCTGAGATGAGCATTGTCAGTTCTGTTCCCTCACCTTATCTTCGCTTCTAGTTTCGGTAGATTTTCCGGGTCGATTCCGGACGATTTTGCTCGACTCCGATTGAAAGCCTCGCGAAAGAAGGGCTGGACCGACCGGAGCTCACGGAGGATTTAAGGTTCGCTATAGAGCCGGTCGATCTATCACGAGACGAGATCGACCAGAACGCAATGGACAGAGTACGCGTCGCATACGTAGGCCAGTCGTGAAATTGATGAGTCGCAATTAGTTACTTCTGCTCGATGAGCCGGAGCGATTCAGATTCGAAATGATACTACTTTTTGTTGAGAGTCTCCGGCGAACTAGGACTCGGATTCTCACGCTCTCGCGTGCTGTATCTTCCTCGGAGTGTCTAACAGCTGGCACCCGGAGGCCCTTCCCAGGATAGTTTTTCGAGGCGAGCGATGGAGAGACACAGAAAGATGAAGACATGCTCGACTGAGATCTTGCTGCTCCTGAGCACACCTCCTCTCTGTGACCGAGCGAGCAATACCACTATTACAAGCATAGAAAATATCGGCGACGATGACGTCGATGGATATGCTCTTCGTTACAGAGCCACCACGCTGTCGAGCTTGACGGGCAAGCAGAGTTGATGAATGACTCCGATCAACGAGTAGATTCCCATTATTCCGGGATCCTCATGCTCTCTCCTGACTGCATGGGTAAACTCCGCGTGTGAGCCTCGACGCATCGGCCCGGCGCGGCGTACGGATCCCCGGGTCCTCGCAGACTTAGAAATCCCTCGATCGGCGCCGACGAGAACGACTGCGACGTCGGCGTTTGGGGGGGAAGAGGGGGTGCGACATAAACGGGTTATTCTTAATGAAGCCGATATGATTGGGGAAACTGGGCGCGAGGGCTGAATCGATTGCATCACATGGGATCCGTCCACATTGGGATACTACGCCGCTGGGTGGCATCGTTTCTGTTGCCTGATGTTGACCGAAAGCCACCCACACTGACATGGTATACAGAGGGAGGACCTAACTAAGCCTTTAGCAAAACGTTGCTCCCGCTCGTCCCGCTCCTGGCTGTCTCGGCACACATCGGCAGTCGATGATGGCAAGACCAATTTGCCAATCACATGTTACCAAACAAACCAGTGGATTTTTAACTAGCTCGGTAAACCGGAATCATCATCACGGCCGCATTCAGAGGCTCACCGCATGCCGAAATGCGTCGATTCATAGCTGTGGCCAAAGGCAAGACAAACACCTCGAGCTAAGGGAGCCCCTTGTCCTTTATGAGCTCCAATGTTCTTCTCAAGACGCCGACCGACGAACCCCGGAGATACTCGAGGAGCGGTTCAACGGGGTCTCGCCAGGCCAGCTAGCCGGAAAAGTCCCTTCCGTATTGAAGCAGGGAATTCCTATATTCCGGCGGGAGAGACGGAAGGACGGGCGGTGAAGCTGAATCCAGAAGAGAGTGTGAACCCTGGCTAAGCTCGACAGCATGATCCAATGACAAAAAGAGGCGGCAACCAATCAAGCCGGGGTCACTCGACCTTCAGATCCTTGTAGCCGATTCTATGTTAGGCCGTTGTTGTTATTGTCTTCCGCAGGCTACCCGACAGTCAGAAGAGAAGCACGCTATCATTGAAGAGCATTTCTGCTCTCGAGATGGAAAATCTTCGATATAGAGAGAAGCACGTCTTTTCCAAGAAGGCACTTCCGATTTGTTGATGTTGAGGATGATTCTTAGGACGCATTGGATCATTTCCAATCGATGCTCGCTTCATTCATTTACTCTTCAAGCACTACTTGAGAATCGGAAACACCTAAATATCGAATAGAGAGATAGACTCTAAAACCAGGGAGACGTCCCTCCAGAACAAGGAAAGGTAGGGCCCGATTCGAAAAGAATGAGGCCTTTCCGATTTTCTTTCCTCCTGAACGAACTCTTTCATCCTTGTTTCGCTTCCACGATAGCAGTAGGGAACGTTCCACCGATCGACATGGTCACTTCGTAAGGGGACTCCAGCAGTGACAACCGCAGTATTCCAAAGAGCTCTTCGCCGTGTCAGAGTCTTGTGCGGATCCGAAATATCTTATTGACGATGTGAGCTCCCAGATCGGAAGGCTGCTGTTGTTCGAATCCGGCAGCTAGTTATCCCCGTATGAGCCTAGAATTGACCCTACGTCGTTTCTTCCCCCACCCCACCCACCGGAATTTCCCCCCTCTCAGAGCCGGAACGCTAGTCTTCGGATAGGATGCCTGATCCCGACCTCGGTGACCTCGCATGCGTCCCAGAGCGTGGAGAGGATTCTCAGCCACCTTTGTTTTGGAATTTCTTGAGCGATCGAAGGCCCTCGGGTTCGAAAGCATAGGTTTGCAGCTATTTGATGCTTGCGTCGCGATACTGCGGGAAGAAAACTCTCTCGGGCAAGCCTCGCCGGAGTAGAGAGGGCCCTATTGAAGAATGCACATTCTCACTTTCTTGACAGTGTCTCATGATTTATTCGATCGATCCGTAGGACAATCCACGGATCAAACACTCTCCTTTCAGTCATCATGCTTAATGCAGAGATTACAATCACTGTGGTTGCTTCCGACGAAGTTTCCTTTGTCCACGTTGCCGTTTCAACAGTTCACTCCCAGTCGGCTCGTCGCGGATAGCATCTAATCGACTGTGTTTCAATTACTCTAGCATAAGGTCTTAAATAAGGGCAATATTCCCAGTTGCCATGCACCCGATTATCGTTCACTAGGACGACAGCGTTTTGTGGCCTTATTTCCTGCTCTACCTAAGAGAAACCAAACTTTCGAGTGGGTTTGAGTGGGTTTTTTTTTTCTTTTGGAGTCGATTAGCGTGTCCCGAAAAATGCATTTACTATATCACTAGATTCCTTTGATATTCAGCCGCACCGGAGCCGTGGGCTCCGACTAAGCTGCGACCCGAGTGACACCCCGAACAATTTCTCACACTCATTCCTCTATCGCTCAACCGCAATCATGTCGCTGCAGGCCGAGCGCTTCTACATAAATGCCAGTTTTCGTTTCAGGCGCCGCAGAAACTCGAGCTTCGGAGATGGAATTCGAGGACACCCTAATCTCGTGACTTTCAAACAACTAATAAACTATGCTGACCCCTGACTTGATGACTGATCAACTAGCTAACGAAAATCAACTAAGCTCAGATGTCTGCCTCGTTGAGCGCAGCTGACGCTTTCACTACTGTGTTCCTTTTTTTTACACACACAATGTCGGTAGGTTGCTCTACAGTCCTTCCGTCGTTGCACAAAATCACTCAGTAATAATTAATACCGCAATAATTATTGTTTTTTCTTTCCAATGATTCCCACGATCATGAGAGAAGGAAGCTATCGTGTAACTATCTTTATTCTTTATTTACAGCTACCTGGGGCATCGTCGCTCCCGACGCCGTCGACTCTATCATTCACCCGGATTCATTGATATTCCACGCTAGCTTCTCTAAAATCGGGACGATCGAATCGTTCATCGCTGTTTCACTTTATCTAGATGGTCCGTACGCCTGAGTCCGCCACCTGTCCCTGGAGACGGGGGCGACGGCGATCTCGAGTGGAGCGAGCCTCCACTAACAGCTGGTGAACCTCTGTCCGCGTTGAGGACAGGCATTTGCGACAAGAGATGCGGGAAAGCTCCGAGTCCCGTCGGAAATACGAAACCGGCTTCGGCGGCCGCAGCCGGTAGCCTTTGGTACATTTCGGCTAGACTTTGCGGATCGTAGAGTCGCGCAAAAAAATCCGGCGGGCCGTGTGGAAACACCTTGTCGAGACCGAACGGTGCTCCGGCGACGACTGCGGGAGCCACGGCGGGAACGTCGTTGCCCGCACTTTGACTTCCTGAGGTAGACAGAAGTTTTCGATGGAGGTTCAAGTTTGCCGAGTGACGATCTCGACTCCGCCTCGATGGAAATGCGGCATTACAGCCATCTACGGTGCATCGGTGCATGAGTTTTAGATGCACGTTCTGATAGTGCGTCTTGACACCGAAATGGTTCTGGAAAACCTTCCCACACGCGGTGCATCGTCTAGGGTTTTCTTTGTCGACGGGAACTTCGGCCTGGCCGTTAGCCGCGTCTCTGTAAACGGACGCCATGTGCTGGTCCGTAGAGCTCGCTGGCGAAACCCGGCCTTCGATCTTGAGGGGCCCGTCGGCAAGCCCGAGTCCGGGTGCGTGAAATGAAACGCCACCGGGTCGGACCACAGGGAGAAGACCCGCAGTGAAAGCACCCATTGAGAGAGACTCCAGATGCCGTAATGGATTTTCACTGGAGGGCGGAACTTGCTGCTGCTGCTGCGGCTGCTGTTTCTGTCTGTTGGATGCTGTTTTCGGATGATGCTGTTCGATGATCATTTCAGGTTTTCTATCATCGTCGCCATGTCTATCATCCTCCGCATCGAGCTCGTCGGCGTTTTCGTCGACGTCACGCTCGACGTTATTCTCGTGTTCATCATCATCATCATCGACGTCGTCCTCGTCGCCGTCGCCGCCATCGTGTTCGTCGACCTCGTTGGCGAGTACGTCGTCACGGTTTCGTTTTCCGTGTCGCCTAGAGTCCTTGTCGCGGCCGTCCTTTTTGTGCCTGTCGGCTCCGTTATCGTCGCGATCCTCATCATCATCATCATCGTCGTCGTCGTTATCTCCGTCGTTGTAATCGTCGCCGTAATTTGCCTCTGTGCGCTGGCTGTCGGTTGTTGCTCGTCGAGAGCAAGCCTTCGTTTGTCGCTGTTGCTGACGTGGCTGTTCTCGAAGATCCTCCGGATGTTGTTTCCGTTGCGATTTCTGAGACTTCAGTTCCGTTTGTCGTGGCAACTGTTGTTGCAGTTGCTTTTCGCGGCGGAACTTCTCGCTCATCAACAGCAACGGATAGCTAGCTTCGAAACCAAAGCGTTCGTTTTGCATTGCACTCATGTCCACATCGAGTTTCCAGGAGCGCTCGTCGTCGTCGTCGTCGACAACGACATCGTGGTCGTCGTCGCGATTTCCGCCGGCGACCTGGAACTCGCGTTCGGTTCTGAGCTGCTTTGCTTTTTGTGCGCTCAACGAAGAGAGATCGTCGTAGCCGTCTTTGGAAACGTCGCTGCTAGTGTTCATGAGATCCTCGTCATCGTCGTCGCTGACTCTCGCTCCTGCCTTCGATGAACGATCGAATCGGCGAAATTTCTTGCTCCTCGGCCCCTCGCTGGCGTTGCTTGACGAATCGTCATCGCTGGTCGGTCGTCGTTGAAGTTCGTCGTCCGAGGGTCCAACGGCTACCCGAGTCGGGTTGAGGGCCTTCCGTTTCCGGGGCTTATCGATTGTGAGCGACAAGGGCTGCGCGTCGGGGTGCGTTTTCGTCGCGGGGGACGCGGCGTGCATGCTCCGGGGCGGTTTTCCGTACAGAGAGCGGGAGTAGTCGTTGTTGTTGGCGGCGGCGGCGGCGGCCAGAAAGTGCCTCGGAATGTCGTTGAGGCCGGCTTCTCTCAACGAAGCGCTGCCGGAGGTGGTGCCAGCCGACGAGGGACCGTGTTGGCTGCCGTAATTCCTGCTGGAGGCAGAGTTGTTGTTGTTGATGTTGTCTTTCGCCTGGCTTCCGTTGTGTTCGAAGGAATGGATGTTGTTGTTGTCTTTTTTGCTCGAACTCATGGCTTTCATCGACAAATTAATACCCTCGTTCGATGAGCTGTCCTCGAGCATCGGCGACGCCGGCTGCGGGGAAGGAGTTTGAGCCTGATGATGATGATGGTGATGATTAGGCTGAGCCTGATGGGGGGAGTTTTTTATGAGCGAGAGTGGAACGCCACCGAGCGACTCGCTCTGCTCGAGTAGATTCTGGGTGTACTCGTTGGCAAAGCCGGCTAGTTTCGAGTTCAGCAAACCCTCCTGTAACACCGATCCGAGGTGCGACGGCGATGTTCCGTTAAGCGCCAGTAGAGCACTTGGCGGCAGGACTGGGAACGGATTAGCGGTACGACCGTCGTGCGGACTGATCTTTCGTCGGAGATTCGGTGTGTGGAGCTTCGGGTTCGGGTTTGCGCTGTGACGGTTCCGCGAACGCCTCGAGCTGAACATCATATTGCAGCCTTCCACGGTACACTTGTGCATTTCACGAAGATGGACCGCGCTAAAGTGGATTTTCAGAGCACCTTTGTCGCAAAATGTCTTCAGACAGACGTGACACTGCACTCTGCGTTTACCGGTCGATGGATTCGTAGTTAACGTACTTAGCACCATGGGGTCCCAGCGGCGTTTCATCGTGTTCGAGGACGAAGACGACGAGTCCTTCTGCTGCTGCTGCTGATGGAGGTGCTTCGCTTGGGCGAGCAGAGCTTCGGGCGCGGACAAATTCATCGCCGAGTCTCTGAACTCGTCGTCCGAGCCTCCGTCGTCCGTCAAACTCATGTCCGGACTGTTCAGACTGTTCAGGGCGAACGGTTGCGGGAGCTGCATCATCATCGGCAGAGGCGGCGAAGACATCGGACTCGTGGCGTTACTTCGGTCGTCGGCAGCCGGATGACGTTTGTGCGTCCTGTAATCGTACGGCTGCATGCTTTGGAGTTTGTTCAGCGGGGAACTCTGCGATGAGTTGTGGGTCGCGGGAGGCGTCGCGGCGGACACCGTCAAATGACTCGAAGAGCACGGCGAGTCCTGTCCGGAGGAATTTCCCTCGTCTTTGGGAAATGTCCTGCCGGGAACGCCGCCAATCGATAAGCTCGGAGACGATGAGCTCGAAGCTCGCGACGCGCCCGCCGCCGTAAGGCCCGACGCGGGTGCGGTAGCCGAGGCGGCTGCGGCGAGTGCGGCGGCGGACGTCGGGGGAGAAGTGGATTCTTTCTGCTTTGGTTCACTAACGGACGTCGGGTCCGAAAGATTCTGCTGGATGAGATCGCTTGCTCTTTGCTGAGAGCCCAAGATTCCGGCTGAGCTTTCGAAGAGTCTTCTGAGATCTGGGGTTTGCTCGGCCGCGGCTTGAATCGCGGAGTCGGCCAACATGAACTGGCGAGCTAACGCTCGAGTTTCAGCAAAACGGAGGAACTGCCGGAGTACGACATGCTCTTCGTCCCGGCTAACCAGGGCCCACTTGTCAATGACGGCTCGGCCTGGATCCTGGAATCGAGAGAAAGACAATCGGATTAGATAATGATCATCTTCCCAAATGATTTGCATCACTCCCCATTCGAGCTGCCGTCCTGTGTCGATGGAATTCCTAAAGGAAAGGGTCTGGTCCGACTGGGGCGAAGAACTTCCTGACTGATACGTTAATCGGTCGGGTCGGCACGAGCTAGACGCAAGCTAAGGAAGAGTTCCGGCGCTGTGTTTTCGAGCCGGTGCTGTTGCTTGTCATGGTGGATCTCTTTCAGCACGGCGTTGTGCTTTCCTTCGTAAACAGTCTAGTCGCTTAAACTCGAAGATCGAATGGGAGACAGAGGATTCGAGCCGAATATCATCAGTCCACCTCGCTTGATAAACCTCACCCACCCGTCCGAACGCCCGCCCGTCAGAATCACTCTTGTTCCTGAAGGGCAATCCTCTTCTCTCTACACGTCCGGGCGACGGCAGTCCGTCAACGAACGACTCACTCCGCTCGTTTGCGTCAGAGAATGAATTCGACGTGTGAATAGAGAGATGTCGTCTATTCATTCCGACGAACTAGCTACCGTTCGGGTGTCAACAGAACGCGGAAACCGTTATCCGCCGGAGATGCTCCGAGCGATCGAAGTCGAAACTCTTTTGTCGAGTAGACTCAAGATTTTTTTCCGCTTACCCGCTGTGCGGCCGGCGGGCCTATATTTCACCCTTTTTATCGTCGTTGGGAGAAACTTGCTTGGGGAAGCTTTCTCTGTTTGGTGTCGCTTATTGATGGCAGTGCTAATAGCATTGTGTCTCTCGACGCGGGTGTCTATCTTTCCGCTCGTGTGTGTATACACGACAAGCATTGGAAGAACGAGTAGAAAAAGAAGAAGACAACGACGACATCTCTTTCCTCGTCGTCGTCTTCGAGCGAGGGACTAGCCCGCAGCAGCAGCGTTTGTTCGGCCGCAGAGGGTATGGGCCATGTGCGTAACAGCTGACAAACGCCGCTGTTTGAAGCCTACTACTACTATATCGTTGGCCGTCGTCGGCTAGCTCCTCGCTCGCTCGTCGGCGGCGGCGGGCCGGTCCGGTGTAAACAAATCGAAACTAGCGAGGCTTTGTATATGTTGCTCGAATCAAGCTGTTCTTCTCGTTTCTAGAAAAGCTCTCGGGTGCTTGTTGTCGTCGTTGGCCGCGGCAACCGTCGCTGCCGTCGTTGTACGGGGCGCTCTGAATCGTCGTCGCGCATTTCAGTACTCTTTTTCAGGCGAATCGGAGCAGCAACCGACCAGGGCGACGATTCCACCGGCGGCGGTGCGCGTTTCTTTTTGTCATCTTCTCCATGAATGTTGTCAAAGTCATTTTCAATGTTTTCGTGATGTCTGAACGCGACGACGACGACCGCTTCGGCAATGATGTCCAAGACCGATCGAAGTCGTATCGAAAATGGACAAAGGCCATTCCGACTCTTCGTCGTCGTCGTCGTCTGCCTCCAATGAAAGGAAAATGAGCAGCAGGACAACAGCACCAGCGGCACCGCTGAAGACGACAACAGAGTCCAAAATCGTGAATTGTCATCCGCTTGCTCCGCTGTGTGTCCGGTTGTCTTTGACTGACTGACTGACTGACTAGATGCTGGCCCGTCCGTCTGTCGGTCGGTCGGCTGGCTGGCTGTCACGACGAGCGAGTCAGGTCGAATGGGACCATTGACAGAGTTCGTCCGCGGATGCTTCGGTCTTCTGACAATAATTTTCGATGGCAATTTCTTTTTGATCGCCCGCCATCGGCTGTAGCGCCGTGCGGCCGTCAAACGTCGCGCTGTCCAATGCGGCGACGGCCGCAATGTTGTCGCCGCGACCGCCAGCGCTTCGATCGCTGAGCGACATGAAATCGATGCCGTGTCGGGGGTGTCGGAAACCGTCGACAGGCGGCTCGCAGTGCGGGAACAGCGGCACGAGTTTCCGGAGGGATCCTGTGCGTTGATCCCGCGACGTCGGCGAATTCCGCGGCCGCTCTCTGAGCTCGATCCGCTCCGCGGACGCGTCTTCGGAACACGAATGTCACTTTGGATCAGTGACGGCGACCAATGGACGAGCGCTGCATCGGGCGACGGTGAGAGAGACGACGACTCGGGATGGACAAGTTCTGCAGCAACGACAAAGAAAATAAAAAAAAGAATTGCCGAGCTGCCATCTATTTATCTATCCATCCAGGGTTTTCCGACGAACGGTTGGACGGACGGACGGACGGATGGACGGACGGACTTACCGGACGAGCGACTGAACAACAAGTGTCAAGCCATGGAAGAAAAAGACATTCGCAGCCACAACGAGATCAACAGCCAGAATTGTCATCCATTGTACTCCGTCGGCTGGTGCCGTGGTCAACAGCGACCGCAAACGCCATCATTTTCTCTCTGTGTCCGAATCAATTTCTGGTGGCAGAAGTCTTTCCCATTCCTATTACGTGGAGTCTTTGCCGTCACAGCCACTCACTCCAGTTCGCATCAATCTATATCGAAGTGGATACCGCGTCGTTCAACACGTCGGATTCCAGTGTGTCTGTGGGTGAATCAATTAGGATGGCGCTGTCGGCCGGCGCCATGAAGGCATGGCGCACAGCTCGACACTGAAGAGAGATGTCACCGAATGACAATGGCAAGCGCGCCAAGCGCCGCCGCAAAACCGCCGCCACCGTCGTCGTAGTTGTCGTCACGGACACATTGCCACGCCTTCTATCGACTGCTCGACCCGCCTTCGAGCTTGTGGTCTGTCGCAGCTTGCCCTAGACGAACAGCGAGAAATCCTTATTTCACACCGACTGCGCCCACACCTCAACATTTTTATAACTCAATTCTCCGGGTGGGCGCGAATCGTTTCCTCGGGAAGGCTTTCGAGACCGGAGTGGGCCCTTCCGCATTTTGGGGAGTTACAGGGGATGCTGCCGTGCGGGGGATTTTCCTTCCGAAGGGAGAGCGATCAGAATGAACTCGGTGGAATCGCCGGAGGTGACCGGCACGGGGCGATTCAATGGAGCGCATCTGCTTTTCTTCTTCTCTCTCTCGTAGGTAGGAACATATATCTATCTATCATTCTGTCCCGTTCATCAATCTAAGTTTCGATTCGAGAACAGGAGATGACATGAGTCGGAATGGCCGTTGTTGTCTGTGCTGCTGTTCCACCGACTAAATCATGTGCCGTCCGTCGCGCAAGAGGTATGCTCGGTCGTTGCTTGTCTGGCCACCGAAACATGATCTACATCATACGTTGGTGCCACTGCGGCCGTCGTTGCTATTGCTGGCAGACACAAGTGTTCCTGACGGATCACGACAGCGACAACATCACACTCCGCCGACCGTCGAATGCATTCGATTTAAACGAGCAATATGTCGCTCTCCCCGAAAGATGATCTGATTCCTTTTTACTCAATACCCTTCGGTCACATCGGCTCCCAGGCCTCGCACAAACTATCGAATCAATGTCGACAGAGCTCCAAGGTGGATGGTTTCTATACTCCGTTCCATAACAGAAACGATGCTCCAGCCGAGTCCCTATCGTCCATCATGGGGCAGTCGGAACTCAGGACTGCGGCGTAGACGATGTTTCCATCGATTGGCAGACATCTCGTCGGATCCTGATTCCGTGATATTCTGAGTCTTCGGGGACTTTCTAGGTCCTCAGCCAATCGTGGCTCACTCGGGCCCTTCGGAGCTTTCCGTTTTTTCCGGCGACGCTTTCGCCACACTAGATCTCTAGCATATGCTCGATCACGGATTTGCATCGGGAATCTCTGGAACCGCTGTGTGACGTAGGTAGGTGCTTCTTCAATGTCAAACGCTTCAGTAATGTTTCGACCACGCGGCTAACAGCTGGGTGCCCCCTCCCGCGCGGAAAAAGGTGACTTGGCTTGCTGGAAGACGACACAAAATGTCGATCCGTGCTAGCGGAATCAAAACAGCCATGTTTTCCGCGGATTTTATGGAATTGAATAAAATACAGGTATCCCGGTGATGGCTTCACATAGCGTGGGGCCGGAGAGGGGACAATGTGAATTAGACTCTGCACTCAAAACATCAGAGGGTTTCTTTTAGGCGCACCTTTCGTCCAGAAATTCGAGGAGTTGACGCGCAGAAAATTATTCACTTCTTGTTCCCTTCGCTCGCGCATACGACCCGAGGAGAGACACGTCGGAACAATGGGAACTAAATATTTCAACTTGCAATTCGCTGGTTTCTGGCTTGTCGCCACCGAAGCGGTCCCAAATATGGAACTGCGGTGATCACGAATCCTTCTAGAACGTTAATCTGACGGTGCAATACGCCAAGCTTCCGAAACTGCGGAATTCCTCTCTCACGCCACTCGACTCCCTAGATCCGATCGTTCGAACTTACTTTATTCACCGGCGTCGGGGAATCATATCATCGAAACATGTGGGTGACGACGACCGAATCTAACCGTTGAAATGGCGTGGTCGACGACGAATTCTCGTGACTGATTCCCCGACGGACTCTTTTCTCCACATCGTCGTTTCTGACCCAATCGCAGAAAATAGACCAGCGACCAACATGGGAAACATTGCCGGAGAAAAAAAGGGACCCAGTGAACAGCGCGCCTTGTTGTTGAATTTTCATATTCAGTAAAAGCGAGCAGAATCGTATTTGACTTGCGTCGTATCCGAAGTTGTGGTCGTCGGTGACCGATGCCGCCGCCGCCACTGCCGACGCTGCTGCCGATACAAATCGCCTATAACGACACGAATTCTTCGACAACTTTCGGATGGAACGGTCGGACCGTCAGCGAAATACGCGACAACGATAAAGTCGCTTGGCCGATGAGAGTCCACAGCCGACGTCCACCGACCGCGAAGGTCCAGAATCGAATGGAGGAAACACCACGACAGTGGGTTACTCAACAACTGCCGAAGATGAAGCTTTTTGGTTCACGAATTGTGAACCAGGGAGGGTAAACACAACAGAACAAGCATCGAGCTCAGGCGATGACAACCGCCGCCGCCGCCACCGGACCCATACCGGTGGGTGCCCAAACATCCGTAGAGCACCGAGCGGAGAAAAAGTGGAGGTCGGAAAGATCTACAGACAACATGTTCGAGAAGCTCGGATGGGCCCGCTGACCGTTCTATCAGAGATGATATTCGTCGCTTTTCGGTAATTCATCGTCGTCGATGGAACCGTCGGCGGGCGATCGCGGGGAGGAAAGCACTCCAAGTCGTCGCAATCCCCGTATCGGTGTCCGACCGATGTGATGATTGGGTTTGTGTGGCGGAGACTGATGCTCACTCCGGACGGCCGGCCGGCCGACATCGAAGTGGACTGCAAAGCGGTCGTCGTCGTCGTCGCCGTCAGGTATGCCACCACGAAAATTCCACCGCTGCTTCTGTGCCTGTCTGTTTGTTGGCGGTCGTAGTGGTTTTTCTTGATCTTCGTTCACAACGACGACGATCATGGTAAGGACGATGACGACAACAACAACAACAAGATCGACGACGATGACGACAACAACAACAACAAGATCGACGAAGACGACGACTCCTACTACGCACAGTCACTGAGGCAGGCAGGCGAGCACAGATAGGCACGCAGTCAAGCAAGTGGGCGACGACACCAAAAGCTAGCAGCGTGATCGGTTGAAGAGACTCTACGTCGTCGTCGTCGCCGCCGCCACCGCCGTGTCGTGTTGTCTGGTTTGCCAGTCTGTTCGTCCGATTCGACGTCGTCGTCGTCGTCGTAAGGGTGACTGCGATACCTGGTTGCTGCTCTCGTTCGCATGGCTGCCTGTTCACAACTTGTTGCTTCATCCGGGTGGACGAGAGAATGGAATATTGAAGGGAAGACATCAGGTATCATTGTGAATCTATCTACTACGAGCCTCGTTTTTTTTCGTCTTCATTCGCGCCCAGGGACCGTCACTCGAGTCTCTCCCCGAGCTCGTTTCAGTCACCCGCCGATGTATGGACGGATGGATGGAAGAATGGACGCGCGGACGGACGGATAGACCGAATAATCTGCTTATGTTCAATTCGTCGTCGTCTTTGGCATCGTCGTCGTGAACGATGACATCGACTGCGCTCTTCGTTGAAACTCGTTCTAATGGTTTCTAGATGGACAGTCGACAGCATCCATCGAGCGGACACCCAAAGGTAAGGATCTCGAGAGCCTAGCCAGGGTTCCTTCGCTCGTCGGTCAGTCGGTCCGTTCTATCGGCCGGCTCGTCGAGGTGAATTTGTTCTTTCCTCCCCGAGCCGCTTGTGAGCTGCTAACGAGTTCGATCTGATTTTCCATTTTTTCAACATCAATTCCTCATCTTCGTGTTTCCCGCTCGGGTTGCCGTCGACACGAAACGAACGGCATTTTTTCCTCCCTTTTTCATACTTCGAACAATATGATGATCATCGTCATGCTTTCGACTTGATGATCACGCAGCAGCAGACTGACTAACTTGACCGAAACTTTTTTCTTTCCGGACTGCATTTCGCTCGTTCTTCTCACGTGTCCGTGGCGAGCACGCCGACGACCACTACGACGGAACAGTCACGGAAATAGTTCCTGTCGTTCGATTTCCCAAGTCTCTCGTCGTGATTCCTCCTTCCTAATCTCCGGCAGTGCGTGACCCTTCAGGAGACCTTCTTCGATGGGGAGACCAAAGAATCTCGACCAAATGCGAGAACGGCAGGGGTTCGGACACGGAGAGGCGAAGGAGCCTCGGTAGCACGATGTCGTTTTGCCATCGACGCCGTCTTTCGAGTGTCGAGAGCGACGGGAAAGTACAAGAGTCCAGACCACCCTCTTAGGAGTTGCCAGCGAGCCACTGTGCCGGCTCCTCGCTCCCCCTTTGCACGAAGACGATGTGGACGACGACGGCGGCAATGCTCCGGATGTAGACTCGACTCTGGAGGAGAGTTCTGCAGTGGCGGAAATGCGTCATCTAGCAGCCGTCCTGCGGGCTCTTGGCGAGCCTTAAAGCGGTGACTCGACCGAAGTCTGGTTGACTGGCATCCGAGAGACGAGCAGGGTGGTCAGAACCCTTTGTTTGGCGCTGTTTTTGCCGCACGCGCTCCACTATTCCTCTCGTTCGACATTGTGTGCACAAATGCTCCATAGGGGGAGTGAGCGGGCAAAAATGAGCGAGCCACGAACAGAGCAGGCCGGCGCCGAAAGGATGCCGGGTGTGTATCGAGGGAGGTGACGTAGAGCGGATGTCGGATGTACGAGGTCGGCAGTCGTCGCGTAGAGCCCTCCCGAGCTCCACATGGAGCAATTAACGACCGCGATGACAAGGACTCCCATGCTTGTTGGGATCTACTCCTCATCGATTTTTTTCAATTAGGCGTCCCGCTTCGGAAATTTTCCGGCATGGACTACGCCTGGTCTTCGGACTTTCGACAGAAAATTCTCGTCCGGATCGACTGGAGACAGTCGTCAACTTTTGTCGTCTTTGCCGCCAACACCGCCTCGCCCCGAAATCAGTGGCATGTGGCATACCTCTGAATCGCCTATTCTGTACCGGAGCAGCCGCACTTGGCAATGACGGAACATTGAAAGGAATTGAGCGAGTACACAGAAATAAAGGGCAGGGCAACATGGCACGCTCTTGGATGGGTGTCTTTCTTTCGGTTGTCGTCACCGGGTGTTGTTGTTCTTTCCTGCCTTCTCCACGCAGAGCCAATTCATCGTACGACCGGAAAAACGATCTTGACGCCGTGTCCCTCGGCGCGAGCCCCTCCACCCAGCCGCAGATCGCTCACGTCAGATCGATGAGTACACTCGAATGAAGAATTCGACCAAATGGAAAGGAATGGGGATTTTGCAGCGTAGCGAGCGAGTGCCCTCAGTGAGAAAAATTATATGTTCTCAAAATCGCGTTACTGCACCCAGCAGAGGCATTGTTGCGGAGCAATTGTCTCGGCGCGCTCCTCTCGCCGAGCAAAACAAAAGCACAGCGACAAAGCAAATAGTCGCGTGTCATGAAATCATGAAGAGCTCTCCTCGGAGTGCGTTCTCGACTGGCTTTTGGTTTTTTGCACCGTGCGGGTTGTTGCCCCATGCCCCCTCTCGCTTTTGAAAGAAACTTCGACGCGGAAGCAAGCCGACAGGGCTCGAACGACCGAGGGGTGAAAGGCAAAAGAGGCAGAATGAAGGCGTGATCTGGTTTATGTCTCTCCAATCTGCCGGTCCACGTGTTGTCCGTCATTAGGCCCGTCACTGCACGACCAAGAGGAACACAGATAGCGAGAGTCTGCCTGGAGTCTGCTCGGAGTCCGATGGCTCCTAGCGAGGAACCTTCTTTTTTATTTATAGCGTCTCGAGCAGTTTGAGCCGCACTTGAAACCTTCGATCGCTCGGCGGCGGCGGCAGTGAATAAACGACGCTGGAAGCGCGGAAAACGAATCGAGAAAAAGGCGTAACTTCAGGAAAAACGAGCTCGGAAGACTCTGTCCCTGAAGCGAAGATCTTCATCGGTCGACGGGCCCTCACATCGCACGGCCACTCGCTCAGCTGAATGGACAACTGAGTGGATGCTCGCTCGATCTGATCGAGGACTTGGTGATCCGGGTCCGATGTCACGAAGATGACGCCGGCGGACGGTACTTCACGATGACGCGAGAATCTTTTCTTTCGGACACCGCTGGTATGACGCTGTCTGTCCGAGAAACCGGCTGGCTAGCTGGCTGCTTGACTACATGCCTGCACCGGACTGTTGTCGCCTGCGTCTTGAATGCTACGACAGTAACGACCACGACGCCGAAGATGAAGAAAAGCGCTTCACTTGAGCTAGATGTTATTATTTGATGTTATCATCTCCACACACCTGGTGACCACGTCGTTCGAAGCGCTTCATCGATCCGAACCCGGTGACGACACTAATCAACTCACGTGACGGAATTCAAAGGCGTCGCCAATAGTCAAATTCCGCAGAATGGTGGAAGACGTGAGGGGGTCTCAAGTTTCGACTCCGCTCGATTGCGGAGAATTCAAGATGAATGGCCGGATGGATGAATGAATGGAAAAAGACGGAGATGAAGCCCGCCAACGTATTTTACGCTCCATTTTTCCCGGAGCGGGGAAAGCGCTCTCCGCGGGAGATGATTTCGGTCCCATCGAATGGGATTGCCTATGAGGATCAGGCCGATTACGCGACCCGAAAACCGGCGAGCAGGGATCGGTGTACGCGAAAAACTCCTCTCTGTTTATGGAATCGACCGTTAGACGATCACGCATAACGACATTGAGCGCACCGTTTTTTTTCTCTCCAAGCAGTCACAAGAGTGATTTCCTCTTGCAGATTCCTTCCTTCATCCGATCCGGACAACTCGTGTAGAACTACTTCGGAGCTAGTTTTACCTGCACGACAACGTCGTGTTGAAGCGTGCCCAAAGAGTTAGCTATTTTTCTCCGTTTCTGCAGCAGCTACCGATTCGAAGAAAAACGGACAGTGCAGCAACTGACAAACACTCGTACGGGTCTGTGGACGGCCACCAGTCCAAACACGGGACACGACCAACTTACGAATGTCCAACGAATAAAATGGGAGGGAAACGACGAGCGGAGAAAAAACTTAAATGCAAACTGCCGTTACTGTCGGCCGGCAGATCGTGAAGGCCTTTCAAAGACACGGCCGCGCTTCACGGAAAGCGCATTGAATCCTTCGTTTCGTCGTCGAAAATTCGCTCACTTAGGAGCCGAACTGAGCGCCAGTGTTCCGAGTTTGTTTTGGGAACTTGGGGCCTGACATAAGAAGTCGAGCTTTCGGGAGTGTTCTGACTGCTGTTCGCGAAAAACGCCGCAACAAGCATCGTGAATAGGGACCACGAAACGATGTTGTATGTAACTACCTACCACGACCAGACCACGACGAACGCAACAGAGATAATTATTATTATCGGTAGGTGCAACTAACCTGATCTACATATCCTCGCAGATACTCGTCGTAGGTCCACCCGAAGGCGTCGAGAACCTGTTTAGGGTTGCCGCTGGGCAGAGCTGACAAGAGCCGGTCGAGAAGGATCTTAAGTCGAACCGGAATGGCAGAAGTCGCGTAGAGCACTAAAGACGCGACTTCAAGTACACTCGATGTCGTCGTAGGTTCCACGGGTGGAAGCGTTATTTCCACCGCCGACGGAGCCGGATTGACTCTTTCTCCTGAAAAACAATCGAATCGACTCGCTTAATGGCTCGTTCAGGTTCGATGGAGCGGAGTGCGAGCAGGCGATTCCCGATCAAGGTTCTCGAGAGATTTCGCCGTAGGTGCGATCGACATGCGAACGTGGCCTCACTAATGACAGCGTGTCACATTCTGTTTGGCGAACAAATCGGGACCCAGATTCCTGTTCCTTCTTCTTTGTTACGACTGGAACCCGCTCAGGGTAGATCGTGCTGACCTGTAGAATTTGTTCGCCTTCGGAGCCGACACCACCACCACCTAAGCGACGACCATCACCGAACGACAACATCGAGCAGCGCTTTTTTGCATAGGATAGGTCAGGTCTGACAGCAGGCCCCTCGTGAGTGTCTCATGAAATCATGATCTTCCTGAAACTGTCGTCGGACTGTCATCAGCCATGTCGTGCGCGAGGTTTCTCTGTCGCGTTTTCTCTCTCTCCCCATCGTGACTATTCGCACTGGCTTCGCGGACCGCGAACGACTAGAACAAGGCTCTTGTGCTCGTTGTCACTGCTGACCATTGAAGCTGAGGATGGATTTGTTGCTTATTTGTAAGCCGGCGATGGATGGCTCCGCATGGCATCAGTTGTCTTGTCGCGCGGACGAAGGTCAACGGGCCGTAATTTCGCTAAGGGTCGCCATCGTGCCAACTTTGTCGTACCAACAGCCACCACCGCCGCTGCCACCGATGGCTGGGATGCATCGGTCGAGCGATCAACATCGTGGTCTCATCCAGCGGATCGGCATCCTTGGCCCAAGTTTGCTTCGACGGCGCCATACGACACAAGTGAGCTTCGGGCAAGATGACCCATCGACCTGTTAATTGAAGGAGTCGCTCGATGTCGCTTCCTTCAACGTGTTGCGGTGGCCGCGTATAATCTTTGCTGCGAATCTGGGAGCAAATCAACAATATTCATTTGACTTTCACGAATTCGAAGCGACGGACGATGCGGCGCTCGTGAGCGGTTCCGTCTTCCTCGATTACGCCGAAAGTCATATACTGACGTTTTTTTGTACGCATTTTTTTCCGCCGAATTTCCGGACGCTTCCCGCATGGAAGGTGTTCGACGCACTCTGAGAAGCCGTCGGACGGACTGACACCGCACGATTGGCCTCAAGCCGCCGTCGTTTCCAGTCATTGCGCCAGAATAATGTCAGTTCTCCACAATTCTACGACGCATGTAAACCCTTCGCATAAACTCGCTCGCCCGCCTGCGAACAGGAGAAAACCAGTCGAGTCGTTCTTCGACCAGAATTCTTGTAAGAAACGGACAAAGGCCAATTGGTAAGCGATGGACAGCGGTCCAGGCAGGAAGGCGAGCTGGCGGGCGGGCGGGCAGGCAGACGGCCGGACAGGCGATCAGGTAAACAGGCGGACGCTCAGGCAGGCGGACGAAGGGAACAGATTTGTCAGCAGCGAGTCAAGCTTGCAGACAGAAAGACAATTCTTCTGAGTCGCCATATGCTCATTCACACACAAACACACGATCTGTCCCTGTCAGAATTTGGCTGCCACGTCGCTGGCGCTCCCCGAGACACTCCTCCCCCGCCAAGGACATCTGCGGGAAACGTGTTGCCACCGCAGTAAAACGACGTCCGTGGATTCGATGCGCTTCGTTCAGGAGAGTAGCGTCTCGGCAATAACTTCTGTACTTCGTCCGGCAGCCCTCCAACGATTACCTATCTAGGTATTTCTTTCGATTGAGGAATCGGAGCCTCATTTCGTCGACTCGGAAAATTCCTTGGGTGGCTATATTACGCCGAGGGAAGGCACGCCGTCGCGGAGGGTGGCGGTACATGACTTTGGCCTTCCGGTGGTCTCGAGAAAAGGGGAACCGGACCCGATCGAACGGTGGCCGCACCGGCGGCGGCGTCCGGCGAGAGAGAGGGCCTCTATTGATGAGACATAAAACTGCATTGGGTGGCGGCCTGCCTGTCTGTCAGGCTGTCTTCCGGTCGTTCGGTGGGTCGGTTGGTCCCCTGTCCCATGTCCCTCTGTGATTAGTGCGTCCCTTTCCAAGGCCCGCCTCCAGGTCACCCACCGTTGTCGCCTCTTTCCACCAGCACTCGAGGGCCCGCCGAGATCTCCAGCGGAGTCTTGTCGCAGGGTGTCCTCAGCATGGCCGACAGGCGCGCCACATAAAGCAGCGACCTCACCAAACAGCTGCTACTCCCGGTTCTGAGAGAGCTACCGATAGTACATCGATATCTCGAAGAATTCAGGAGAGTTCTCATCATTCTTCCGAATGCAGAACTTTGCACTCTTTGCACTCGACATGACGCTCCATGGGGGCAGTTGATTTTGAATTGTCGGAACCCGAATTATTGGGAGAGACTGCGGTATTTGAAATTTCGAGCATGATGGAGCAGCAAAGCTATCGGGCTCCATCTCTATCTGCTGTAGCCGTCATTTTCCATCATGTTTTGCTTAATGTGGGAGTTCATTCCGCAAACGGCTCATGCAGATTACGGCTTTCTATACGCTCTTTCTATCCTATTCATTCTCTGATGTCAACTCGTACGTAATACATACGCTCAATTGAGTTATGTCGCGGCGAGCTTTTGGAAGAGCACTCCTCCACTCGTGGGTGGTGTTTTCGATTCTCTAAACCGGACAGTTAAAAGTTGCAATGAGCACAAGCAAAACGTTTTCCGTGCGCGTAGCATGTTATCCGAAACCCTTCCCAGTCTCGATTCTCGTCACGTCAGGAACGCAACCCATTCGGAAGATTCTCGATTTGTCCTCCTCTAGCCCGAGGCCTCGACTCGGGTCGCTTCAAGCTCGGTTCTCCCAAATACAATTCGATCTTGGACGACAAATCGTCAAGCAAAAGAAGATCCCATGGCAAGCTCATCTGTTCCCTCCTCCCCCGCACCCACTGCAGCGGAAGTACTGCTGTCTGACCACAACAAGTCGAACTGAGCCATAAACTAGGAGATCGGTGTTTCTGAGGCGAGCTTCTCTAATGGTCTAAATCAGAAGATGTCCTCAACTTACCAGCAGATTGTGGTTTCATGGCGAATTGTTCGGCGCCGGCTGTGGGAAGATCTTCAGCTCTTCTGGGAGAAGCAACACCAGAAGGACAGGCTGTGGACCGCATGCTCACATCGAGCTCCACTCAAATTCAAACCCTCTATTTCTTCTGAATTTCGCTGAATCCTCGAACTCTTCGTCCTCCCTCTTCAATCGAAGCAAGGTTGGATCGGGGCTGAGGTGTCGCGCGGGGTGTCGATTACGAATCCACCTTCACCTTGAGACTAAGCACGGCGAGCGAAAACACTTTTCCAGTTGGGGATGCACATGCACTCACGCACGTCTGCACGCACGCACCAATGAACACACTGTGAACTCAGGATCAGTTCCTCTCTGTATCCTCCCGCTCCGGAAAATGAGTCAGTTCTCCTCTAGAGTTGTCGGACGTCGATCAGAACGAAAGACCGATGTCGCAGTCGGTGTCGCCACCCTGTCCGGTTGATCTGTGTGTTGTGCGGACATCTGTCAATCGATTAACTGCTTGAATGAGTCGTGGGTCCCGTTTTCAGTCATTAGATCGCTCACTCGTCCACGCACTCACTCACTGGAAGTGATCGACCAAAAACTCTGAATGAATGACGTCTACGTAGCGGAACATCGGGCACTGTCACTTCAACTCAGGAGGAAACAAACACGGCAGCCGACCATCGTGGAGGCGCAGCGGGCCGGAGGGCAAGCCTCACTGGCGACAAGTTGTCCTGCCGTCGACCGATGACGGATGCACAAACTGACGGTCGGTCGCTCGTTCGAACAGATGAACAGACAGACGGACAGAGCTTGGAACACTTTCGGCTCGTGGAGTTCCGAGCGGTCGGGAGCCTCTGGCTGTCACTTTGTCAATTTGTCGGACTGTTCGACTTGGTCCGCGCGCACTCTTTGAACGACTACTAGCGCTTGTGAGAAATGTGACCAGGCATGTAGGCTGGCTGGCTGGCTGCTTTGCTTGCGGGCGGGTAGGCAGGCAGGCAGGCGGACAGGCAGTCGGGCAGGCTGGCTGGCGAGTCCGTTCGTCGTCGTCGTCTCCCGTGCCTGTGTCGTCGTCTTGTGGATGGCCGTCTCCCAACCGCTCACAATTGGTCGCCGGCGACTCTCCCTCACGACAGCCGCTACCCAAAAAGGCGGCGCCTACAAACTTGGTACAGCACAGCCGCAAGGTGGCGCGACGAGCGGAAAGACATCTCTCTGTGAGCCGCCAACCGAGCGACGACGGTCGGTTCGTCGGTCGGTCGGTCAGGCGGCGGGCCCGTCGAACGGACGGCAGGCTGGCCGGAGCTGAGTGAGCAAGCGACCGGCAGTCAGACCGTCATCCAACCTGGCTGCTTCTGCTAGCGGGCTTAGTTGGATCGCTCGGCTCGGTGCTTGTCTGCCCGCTTGACGTGATGGTCGGGTACGCTCTCTTGCTCCTGCTGCTGAGTGACTAGCACCGCTATCACAGTTGTTGTTGGTCATTTACTCCCGCCGCCGCCGCCGCCGCCATCGCCACCGCCGCCAACGCTCGCCAAACGCAATGGATAGAGGGGAAACTTTTTTTCCGGAAAACTCGGAGGACCCGTCGGAAAACGGCGATGTCCAGGAGAACAGATATTTCTGTCCCCTTGGCAGGTCGTCACCGGGACGCTTGTTTCGGGAGAATTTTCCCGCTCGAAATCGAGTCGATCATTCCTGTTTCTGAAGATCCTCGTCGATGATGGACCATGGGCGAGCTTCCTTGATGAAGATGTCTGCAGCAGACTATACCTATTCAGAAAAGGGACCGCAAGTGGGAGCCGCTAACCATCATTGGCTCTAACGGAGTGGAAGCGAGCTCAGATGTCAAAGTAGCCTTAGCGGGTCGGTGTTAATGAAGTCTCCTCGCAAAGCCCATAATCCACTCAAGCAACCCAACATCACAAGCTTGGCGCACTCATGAGGTGCTCGCGATGGGAGGAAGCTGTTGCTCTTACTGGGTGGTATGGGGCTTAGTCTGTGTTTGAGGCTCCGAGCTCCCTAGATAGTCGCAATAGGAAGTTCGTGGACTCTGAATTCGGATTCAGGCGCCAGAATCGGAAAGCTCGGGCCACGAATCGGGAATGCTGCTGCTCGGGGACTTTGCCGCTAGAATGATTCACATCCACATGCGGCCAATCGGAGAATTATCGAGCCGCAAGATTATTCACTCGGTCTCTTCCATGGTGAACTTCTATTTTCAGGAGCGGATTTCGAATCCGAGGGCGACAAGAAATCCATCGGGGAAGTCCGATAGGGAGTCCGCGGAGGGAAGCGGCAAGCCTTTCGGAGGCGAGCCCCAGGCTCGATTGATTCGGCACTCTTCCGTTTACCTCTGCGGCGCCTCGATTCTCAGATAATGTTTGCGGATGCAAATTCGCTGCACAGCTGAGACTAGAAGTTTTCGAGAACAAAAGATGCGTCATTGCGAGTCCCTGCGTTGTCGCCACATCCCCGCTCATTTTGAGCGTATTTCCATTCCCCTTTTCTTTAGCGCCGCTCCTCTGCTATCGTCTTGCTCCTCTTAAACACTGTGTAAACGCGACGGATCAATTTTAGTCGGAAAAAAGACCAACAAAAAAAATCACACCGAGCGGCAGCGATCCTGTCTGCGACTAGATTGTCTCAGAGGTTGTCAAAATATTTGCTTGCCGTTGCCCGGAGCTAGGGGAGAAATTCGCGGAATTCCTCATCTCTCTCTTGAGCTCGATTTGCATCCTGCCAACTTAGACCTGTGAGTCCCGGACACTTTTCTCTCCTCTTTCGACTCGCACACGTCCTGAATAGACTTTGATAAAAGACTCGTTGGCTGAGAGAGGGAGTCGATAATTTCCGCGTCCAAGACAGCGGCATATACAAAGTATCTTTGAGTCGCCGGGTCGAGGGGAGAAACGTGAATTCTTCTGGCGGACGGAGTAGTGAATCTCGATTGTCTCGATCAGAGCTCCCGCACAAGCCCGAAAATCAGGCAGAGATACATTACAGTCCCCAAACAGTGCGGGAGATACGCGTCGATCCTCATGGAACAGCACTTAGTCGATGACTTTCCAAGTCCACTCTCGAGTGGTAATCGTTCTACAGGGCATCCGCTATTCCTCTTGGGTCTGTCCATGCGGAGCAACACCGTTTTTCGCGCCTTCAAGTATGCGCATCCAAGAAGGCTTTCAGCTCCGATGCGGTAGACGCAGGAGATTCGTCTTCCTTCATCTCCTTAGAGAACTGAAACCGGAGAAAAAATAGATCCAGCGGGGCTCACTCGCTCGCAAAGCTCGGAGCGGCCGCGAGAAGAGGGAGATGAGGAAGGAAGAAGGGAGAGCGAACGAACGAACGGAGGGAGGAGGGGGGCGACCAGCATACAAGAGACCGCAAGTTTCTCAGACTACTGAGCAAGATGGTCCACCTTCGAGACTTCTCTCCCGTCCTCGAGAGATGAGCAGCTACGCAAACTTATGAATGCATCATCTCGCATAGCGGCAGATTATTGCTATCGCGGAGCCGAAGCGAAAAAAGTCTCAAGAGAAGCGAACGGAGGAGATCGAATGAGAGCTGAAAAAAAGAGCGAGACAAGATGCTCGCAAGCCGCACTCGTAAATACATAGACATTCATGAATAAAAATACCACTGTGTCCCGGGAACATCACCTACCGCGGATCCATACCTGGCGCACGCCGCCGTACGGATCGAGGGAAAAAACGCCGATGCATATCGCTGGAGCCCATATCATCGTTCCGATCGAGTTGGCCGAGTAGACTCCGACTCGGGGCGAAATTGAAACCGTGGCGGTTATTGACGAGTGGTCCAACGAGCACGGACTTGGAGGCGCGTGTTTTGCTCGCTTAAGCGAGCATCATTGCTGTTTTTACGCGCGCAAAGCCATGCATGTGCATACCGTGGAGAAGAGAGGTGTATCCCGAATCTCTGTCGAACTTTGGGATTCCTCTCCGGGGTCTGACTCGGTCCACAGCGCGGTATGCTCCCGGCGTTTCAAGTGATTCCTCCAGCGCAGTTCCATGACGAGTCGGCCGATTGCGATTCCGCAGCAAAAAAGAAGGGCGTGATGCATCCTGGTTCTCTCGGGGAGCCACCCCGCCCCAGGATATCGGTTCCAGGGGAGAGCTCGAGGTCCATCGGATTCGTTCGTGATCTCGCCTGGTCTCGTGCATTTTTTTCCCGCTGGTCCGGAATCGGTGGAGGCAGACAGAAGAGATTGACACCGAGTCACCGGGACGGGATCCTGCGAGCGCACAGACAAACAAACGCAGATCGGGATGGACTAGAGGCAACGAACACCAGTCGCGGCGCAGCGCCAGCGCGGATGAGGAGATCCAGGACTACGCCACGCGCGCAAAGACGGACAGTCGAACTCCGAGTCATGGACAGAAGATCGTACACTTGGACGGACGAGTCAATAGATGGGCTCTTCGGAAAGAAGTTCGAGAGGCCAAGGAGTCGAACATTTGCGGATTGGGGCATCCGTCAGTGGAGCAGACAGCGAACCACAAGCTCGTACTTCCTTAATAACATTTCACAACCCCGTCAGGGAGGCGAGTGTTGGCAATCTTGGCGACTTGGGAGCGTGTCTGAGGCCGGCGTTCGGTCTACCTTCCGGTGGAGCGTATCGGCGCGCGCTCAAATGGTCGCGCGTTTCCTTTTCCTCATTCGGCGCCTGAATTCGTCCCATACCCTCGATCGATAATTCCGTCAAACGGAAATCACCGTCGATAAGAGAACCGATCGAGTTTCTGGAACCAGGTTGAAAAACATAACACGAGCTCAGCTCTAGCCCCTCGATTCCCCTTTTAGGGACTGCTGTTAAATCTTTGGAGCTGGCTCGCTTCAACAGCAAACTGCTCACACCGTGATCGACGCCGACGATACAGTCTAAGCAATGTCAGTCGAAGACACTATGCCGGCGGCAGGATCCACCGAGGCACGATAGCGAAACTTCGAGCAGCGATTGGACAAACGGACGCTCGGACGAACATTATGAGGAGGTTTCGGTCGCGCGCAGCAACGAAAATGGACGAGAAAAACGGCAGAAAATTCGCGTCCACAATGTCAGTGAAGATAAATCTTGACTTT